ACACACACACACACACACACACACACACAGGTCAACATATGCAGAAATATAGTGTGAAACACTGAAAAAAACACTTTTAACCTCATTCAAATTCAGAGCTAACACACTATGACAAACACTGTATATGTGCATCCTTATCAGATGTTCAGTCAAACATTAACCCAGCATGCGTCCACTCATGCATAATCTCTTGAATATATCCATGTGGATATCTGCATGTAGAAGCTGTTTGCATGATTTCTAAGAAGAGGGAGTGAAGGTGCAGTTAGATAACCGCTGCGTTGACGAGTCGCACATCAATTCAGAGAAAAAAACTTGTGCAGGTGAAGTCCGTGAACCGCTGAAAAATGTCACTATAGGGGTCGTAGAAATAAATCGGATAAATAGGATTTATGATTAATACACGTGACAAAAGCTCTGTCTGTGTGGATTCATGCAGATTTTATCATCATTTCTTTAACATAAATCATTTGCATTTGTATCTCAAGGTAACATTTTTCAGTAGCACACACCCACTGTAAATCCAATCCAGTTGAATTGTTCCCTTCTCTGTTCAATGTTTTTTGGGGGGGGTTTGGTGACTGTATATAAAGATGGATGATGCCTCCCCATTTTCTCCCACTATCCAGAGTTTAGACCAAAATATCCTGGATATCAACGCTGCCATCTTACACATTTGGAACCCAAGTTCCACCGGTATGAATGCTTGACCAATCGTGACTCAGTCTCAGAGAGCTGTCCATCACAGGGTGTTTCTCCCTGTACAGTCAATGGTTCTACTCTGTAACGTCTACTGCAAATACCAATGGTGATTTTTTTTTTGTTGAAAGGCCTTTAATTCAGAAAAAATATTGTTTTAATGTGTGTTTGTGTAGAAAGTAGGGAGAGAAAAATCAATATGAATTGCATTAAAATAGATTTGTGTCATCTTCAAAATCATTTTTTTCTCTCTCTATATATATAGTGTTTTGAATATAAGTGTGTGTGTGTGTATGTGTGTGTCTAGCTTATTATGTCCCTCAGCATCTTTGACATCACCACGGGTCAGCAGGAAGTAATAAGTCTCATAGCTGCCCCCTGATACAACCAATCAGCAGGCAGCGAGCAAGAGGACGTGAGGTCAACAACACTGCTGCTCCCCTCACGTCTCTGGTAAACCTTAGTGCTGAGTGTGTGTCTGTTTGTTGATGAGAAAAATCTGAGAAATCGATTCATTTTGACTTCATTTGACCTGTCGAGATCGCTGCAATCTTTCACTGATCACAAATAATTACGTGTCACTGTTCTTCGGGACGTGTTGTTGCTGCAGTCTGGTGCAGGTGTCTTGGTGTTACGACACCTGACTGTGACATATGACATTTTCTTGAGGCTTGCACACATGACCTGTGAGTGTGAGGTTGATATCGCCAACCCCTGTTTGTTTCTTTGTTGGTTTGTGAGCAAGATTACACAGAAACAACTGAAAAGATTAAAATAACACCTGGTGGAAGGATGTGGTATAGGTCGGGAAATAACACATGAAATGATTCAGATTAGAGTGCAGATCAAGAACACTTTCTTTAACATTGTGAGATACAGTATTTTTCTCAAAGAATAATTCAGGGATCTTGATTTAAAAACAACTGTAGGGTCTTTTTGGAGGTATCTGCTTGACTGAGGGCCATTCTAGTGTTAGTTTATGTCTTTGCCCCTGTCTGTTGGTTTGTTTGCTTGTTAGTCAGCAGGATTGCCTATAAACTAAAAGAGCAGGTTTCCATAAAACTGTATGAATGGATGGGACATGGACCCAGAAAGAACCCAGTAAATCTGGACACAGATCCTATCATTCAAAATGATAGAAAACATTCAGGTGTCAACTTAATGTATCAAATACCTGTTTATTTGATCATTTTATGAAGGTTTTTTAATTTTGGCCGTTTGTATTTTGTGGATCTCCAATTGGAAAAAAAAAAAAATTATCTGCTAGTTCATACATCTGATGAAGGCCTTTAAAGCGAAATGTCATATTAAATGAATAACAAATACAGTAGCGGTACAGAGAGACAGTGTGGGAGTGTGGGAGCTACTTCTCTCTCTCCACTCCATTCCCAACAACCTGCATCTCTCCATCATTTGCACCCTTTACACATCCTACATACTGTACAGCATGTTGCCGTCACTTCTTTTTTTCATGACAATTTATAGTTAAAACAAGGACAAATTACTATCAAACTGTGATCGATGCAAGTGAGCTATCAGTCCCTGGTGTGAAAACAAGGACACGAAAACCGCATTAGACGTCCATGAGAGGAAAGAGGAGAAGATCAGCCTTTTCAAACCAGTGGTAACCTTTTAGCAGTCACTTGCTAATCCCTCTGCCACCGGGCATGAAGCAGAGGAGTGAGAGGTGGAGGGAGAGGAGGGGGGACAGGGAGGAAAAACACAGGGGGGGGGGGAGAGAGGAGGAGGCAGGTACAGTAAAAGGAAGGGTGAAAAGGGAAAAGAAAGTGGAGGAGATATTGGAGAAAACATCAAAGGGAAAAGTGGAGAGGAAGAGGTACGAAGAGAAGACAAGATGAAATTAAATGGGGAATAGACGGGGGGAGTGATGGCAACCCAATGATTGTTCTGCTCTGACAGAGAGGTGCACTCCTGTAATCTCTCGTGGTGGTGTTGGAGGGGTGAAGGGCCACTCGAGAGGCCCCCTAGAGCAATCTCTTGTGTGTGTTTCTCTGCAGGGCCACCTGTGATTCACTTCACACATGATTTCCAGGGGGCAGCCAGGACTCCACACCGTCACTGCTTTTAACATCATTATTTTCTCAAGGCTGCCTCCATCTGCTGTAATACATGTAACCTATTGTTGTCATTATCATTATAAAGTGCTTACAAAACAATCTTGCTTCAACATCCAGTCCAGAGACGTTTGGAAAAGCTGTCGGCCCTGGACGGGTAGAACTCTTCAGAAAAGATGACGTAAACACTCACAACCACTTGCTAATATGCTCTTTTCAGTCATGATGTAGCCTTTACCGATTCGTCAGGCTGCTATCACATGACCCCCTTCCAAAAGGGGGGTGTATAATAAATGCCATTTTCAAACTACAACATAGTAGTGTGGATGCAGCCTTAGATTTGTTTGCATTACATTATTTTCCTCATACAATTGTCTAGTTGTCATTACAAAAAGTACATGTTCATATTTCTACTCCTCACTTACAGGCCTTCTTGTGCATGGTTTGTCTTGTGCATGAAAACAGTAGATGATGCTATAAAACCTTAGAAATCTCCTCCCTGTCCTACAAGCATCCCTGAAAGCATGGAAATTGAACTTTTAGTTCTGACTTCACACTGAAACTCAACATTTGGAAGAATACAGAACCTATTTTAAACACTACTGAACAAACAATTCAAATTAAATAACTAAAAGGTGGAGAAAGCCCACTGCATCTGAAACAAGCTACAACACAAATAGAAAACACAAAAATATAAAGCAGCTTGGCAGAATGCCTTTTGAAATCTGGCACCTGATCAGTAAGTGGAAACACAGCAGACTGCTTCCAACACAGACATGTTGCTGTTTCTCTCTGGGATGTGTGCATGCCCACACTTTTTATGAAATGTGGTGACTAAACCATTGCATCCATCTTTAGTCGGTTTTCAGTTTGTCATTTATCATAACATGCACAACAAAGACAAGGTCGAGATTTTTAGGAATCTGGGGAGTTTTTGTGTCCACTTGCACTCGTGATACAGACTCACTTCAAATATCCAGTTCTCCTCTTTTTCCTCATCGAGATACATCTTGGTCTGGCGTAGCGGCTGGTTCTGTGTGAGCGGTTCAGAGGACAGGTGAAACTCCACCCTCTGCAGGTCGAAGCTTAGACCTGTGCCGATGGCTTTGATGAAGCTCTCCTTCAGGGTCTTGGTGGAGACAGAGCGAACGTGATCAGTTACACGCAGCAAATCAGCACAGGCCCATGCAGAAAACAATGTGGGATATGGCAGAGCTGAGAAGGACAGTCTTTTTGAGGGCTTCATTGTGTGTTTGTGAGAGTGTGTGTTTGTGTGTTGTTGTTAAGTGGGGTCAAAAACTCTGAGACTCTCAGACTAAAACCACAACAGATGGGAAACGATGCATATACTCTATGAATAACTGTGTGTGTGTATACAAAAGGTGGACTTTGTGTGGGTCCAACCAAAAACAGCCCTGCTCCACAGCCAATGAGCCACAATAACAGTATTACAAGGCTAATCGCTATGGCAACGATCGAGCTCTGCCATTAGTCAACAGGGTGGTGATGATATCAGGGCTTGACGTCTCTGTGCCACCCTCTCAATCTCACATCTTTACTTAGCACCACCAATGCTGTCGCTGTCCATCTGTGTGTGTGTGTGTGTGTGTGTGTGTGTGTGTGTGTGTGCGCAGAATATTGTGTCTTTAAGGAGGGAATGCAGAGAGAGATGACAGATAGTGAAGAAAAGACTGAATTTGACTTGGGCAGACTTTGCACACAAATGTGCACAATGTACAAATGTGTCCCCATGTCTTTTAAAGGACATTTGCATTGCCTTACTCTTGTTGAAGGACAAAAGATGTCGCACCTTGTTAAGCCCTATTAGACAAATTGTGATTTGTGAATATGGGCTACAAATAAATTGTGATCGATTGATTGACTGATTTATTCCAATGTTTTCTTCTAACACACACAGAGAAAAAAACAACAACACCGCCCGCAGGGCCCAGCAGCGATGCAATGTGACAAGGTAGTATGGTTGCCATGGTTACCCAGTGGCGGTAGAACGCAGCGAGTTGCTGGTGCTCCGAGCCAGCTGATTGGATGATGCCCCACTCGTACGCTGTAAACTGACGAGTCATGATGCGGAAAAACTCCGGCACAGACCTGCTACCTGGAGGCAGAGAAAGAGGGGTGGGGAGGTCGGGGGTGGGTGGAGACAGAAGAGAAGTGTGGTGAGAAGCTGAAAGAAGGCGTCAGTTTCCAAACATATGTGTTCTTGAATTAAAAAAAAGCTAAATATGTCACACACACACACACACACACACACACACACACACACACACGTCCAACTGGTTCCATCCGTAATACAACAGTGAACCTTTGTGGTCAACTTGGGAATTACACTAGCAAAATACAGTTTTTCTGAATCGCTAAAACACTAATTCCTGTTGTGTGAATCAGTTGCTCAGTTCTCTAAACTCATTCACAAAATTGAGCATCATTTTGACAAAACCATAAACTATCTTCACCTAGTAAAACACTATCTGCAGATCTCAGTCTTTCCTTTTGCAAAACTCTAAACACATTCTCATGCAATAAAACAGTTGTCACTGTGATGCACTTGTGACGCATAATGGTATAAACCAGTGGCAAAATATGAACACAAATGAAACACATGTGTCATCCATTGAACACAAGGATTCAAAATACAACATGACAACCAATATAAGTTCAGAGTGCAAGCAGGTTGGTCCTGCAAGCTCATGACAACAATGGATCAAAGACACAGAGGACGAGTGCGTGTAAGAGGAGGTGGAGGACAAGAAGGAGGCAGAGGAAGAGGAGGGAGAGGAAGCAATTTCTGATGGTGGTACAGTAATATAACACTGTGTGCTGCTATAAGCAACCGGGGTGTTCTTCACCATCATGCCACTCTGGGGCCATATAACACCCAGCACCTTCTCACCTTTCTTGGTGCTCTTAGAGATGTGTTGTCTGCAAATGAACAGCAGGAACATGAGATGATGGAGCGGCTTATTTGTGTTATAATTTGGGACAATGTTAGTTTTCACCGTGCTGTCCAAGTCAGAGAATGGTTCAATATGAATCAGAATGTCATTAACCTATACTTGCCACCGTACTCTCCCTTCCTCAATGCAATAGAGGAGTTTTTGTCCACTTGGAGATGGAAGGTGTACGAGCGACAGCCCTACACCAGGCTCACAGTAATCTTCTTGAGGCCATGGAACTAGCCTGTGATTGACATTGGTGAGGAGATGTGTCAGGGCTGGGTACGGCACACTAGGGTTTTTTCCCCGTTGCCTGACAAGGGCAAATATAACGTGTGATGTGGATGAAGTGCTGTGGCCTGACCCAGCCCAAAGACAGGATGACGCTCAATGAAGCTCAATGATCAACTGTACTTTATTGTGACCAATAAACATTTCTCCATGAGCAACATGCCTTGACCAGTGTGTTTTCAATTTTTTGGTGTAGTGTTTAATGACAGCTCAGCAGTCTTTCTATTTTGATCGATTCGTGCAAGATCTGACAACATTGTTCGGTTTTGAGCACATGTGAAACTATTTTGAGGTGATGGTGTGATTTAGCAAAAAGAATCAGAGATTTTATGAATGTAGTTTGAGAAAAGAGTTTTGTGTTTAGAATTCTGAGAAAAGGACAGGAGGATTCAAAAAACGTGTTTTAACAATTGTGAAAAACTGTAATATCTGCCGTCTGCTGTCAGATCTGATTGTTATGGGTTTATTAGCACTGGTATGGATGAGATGGTTGAAATAAAACCGACACACATGGTCTTAGTTTGATTTTTATGCTTTTATCCAGACATTAGTAAAATCATTACATTTATTTATTTATCTGTATTTGTGGCTTGAATAGTGTCACAACTAAAGTTCAATATGAAAATATTTTTTTCTGTTTGTCTGAGACACAAAACAGCGACAGAGAGAAAGTGTTCATGGAGTGTTCTATTTCTCTGTCGGCAAAACATTTTTTAGTGAAATTTACGCAGCTGTATCAGCAACTATTGACAACTGTATTTATTTACCTGGCATTGTGGTTTTCATGATATCCACGCCGACCTGCACCCCCTGATCTGCAGCCAGCACAGCGTAGTCTCCCTGGTGGGAGAGGTTGAAACTCCAGACACCACCTGAATCTGAACTGACCTGGAGTTGAGACAGGAAGAAGGGAGATCTATTATATTTCTATTATATAACAAAACTAACTATATATACTAATATATACTGACTATATAACATCTCTGATTTATTCTACTAAGTTAAACAGTTTGGTCTAACTTAATACATTTGAAAGTATATATGTATTGAACTTATATTGCAACCGTCAAGGTTCACAGTGCTGAGCAAGTACATAAAACCTCCAGTTCAGTGGGTTTTGTATATATTTCCCCATTTGAAATACTATGAAAGACTTGGGTGATTTCACTACTCAAGTGTTGATGGGCAAGAGAATTTAATAAATATATATATTATATATATATTATCTTTCTATCCTCCAGCCTCCTTCAGAGTGCTCATTATTAGTACATTATTATTAATAATACTCACAATAATGAATTCATGTTTCAGGTTACAACTACATCATAAAGTGTCTAAACTGAATGTGTATGAATATAGATGCTGAATGTGGAACGAGAAGTCAAATGTAAGTATGAATAATGTGGTGACAAACAGACACACTAAACATCTCTTCCTTCCTGAGGAAGCTGTAGCTCAGGAAGGTGGAGACAGTCGTCCACTAACCAGACGGATGACGGTCAGTTTCCCCCATTACATGTGTTGGAGTGACCTTTCTCAAGATACTGAACCATGAAGTGTGTAAGTGACGTGTGCTGCACATAGATGCACTGTATGAATGTGGGTGTCAATAAGTGAATGACAAAACTGTACAGTAACAAGCTTTGATTGGTCATCAGGACTAGAGAAATGTTTGTTAAGGTCATGCAGACCATTTACCATTTCTACAGTGCATGTATCAGTCAAAGAGAAGAGACATGATGAAGAGGTGTTTATAGGAATATGAGGATTTAAATCTGATGAACCTTCAGCGGGGCTGCCAGGTAAGGCCTCCCTCTGGGAGATCTCTCCAGTCTGATCCGTGACCAGGGGACCCCCATCCTCTCACAGATAAACTTCCGGAGCAACAATCTGCCAGCCTGACAACAGACAACCACACATACAGAGGGGGAATGTCTCACTGATATCATGATGTGGTGAGGGGAAGTGGAGACATGTCATAAACGTTAAACACAAACACAGAACCATGAATAACCAGAGAACAAACACAACTTTACACTCACAACAAAAATATTTCTGTGCATCATAAACACCCTATTACCAGAGATATAGAGCAGAAAAAAACAACATGAAAAGTGAATAGTGAGATAACCGCGAAACAAAGGGACAGCTTGATCGTGCAGACAAATTAGTTTCAATATTATATGGAGAAATGTCTCCACAGGATAATAATAACAATAATAAGAATACAAATAATAAGGAGGTGAACTAAATACAATTAAAGGTTCATTGTGTAGCATTTGGTGACATCTAGTGGTGAAGTTGAATATTGCAGCTGGACACCCCTCACCTCACCCTCCCCTTCCAAACATGACAGAGGACCTGTGGTAGCTTCAGTTGTCATAACAACTGAAAGATTTAGTTTGTCCAGTCTGGACTAATGTGAAAAACATGGTGGCCTCTGTAGACAGGACCTGCTCCTGATGTACATATAAAGTATTTAAATATAAAGAGCCATTCTAGGGTAAAGAGAACCACAATTCTTACGATTTAGATGAAACACACAAGTGAAAACATCCCTAGGATTAATTATTAGATTAGATTAGATTAGATATACTTTATTCATCCCACAACGGGGAAATTTACATGTTACAGCAGCAGAGAGAAAGTGTAGTATACACTACAGAAATTAAAATGGAAAAGGCAATAACACAAAACAACAGACAGAAATTTCTGTAACCTACACAGTAAAAAAGAAAACAATTGACCTGCAACAGACAATGTGCAAAAGGGTGCCACCAAGAGTGGCATGGTATAAAAAGTATTGTAATGTAAAGTGTATAAGTAATATTATCAAAGTAAGTGACCATGATATAAATAATATTGCAAAAAGTAAGTGACCATGACATGAATAGTACAGCAAGGCATAAATGAAATAAGAAAATATTGCAATGTAAAGTGACCATGAAAATGCAGATTATAGATCACATTTAACATAGGATGTTATTTTAGTTACATTTACAACTAAAAGAATCAAAGAAAAGAAACACTGGAGACAGAAAGTTCACAGATGAAGTTCACAGTAGGACTCACCATGGCTGACTTCGCATCCTTGGCGAACACGAACTGTCCGATCCTGTCCTTCTCCTCTCTCTGGACGCAGCGGGCCGCGAGCAACCACTCGCCCCGGTTCGGTGTCCACGGTCCGCAGCGGAAAGCCCAGCGGACAGACCCCATCTCCTCACGACTCGGCTCCGACTTCACCGGCGGCTGGCGTTAGCGTCGCGTGTTAGCATGTAGGAGTTTTTTACTCGACGATAACAGTCAGTGAATGTTTCACCTCACTCCCTCAGGGTTTGACGTGGAGGCGACACAGCGGCGGAGAAGAGACCTGTGCTCATTCACAAAGTCTAAACTCAGTGTTTACATGTGACAACACACAAACCCGGAAGAGCCCGGCGAGATCCAATGACGTCATAAGTGGGCGCGGTGGAGGATAGGCCAATAGGAGTAGTGGACAGACGATGCCTTCATTGTAGTCAGGAATATTGTGAAAAACATCAAGTCGCGTTATAGCAGCAACGATTTCTCTACATACACTGCATCGAAGACACAACTGAGACAGTTGATAGTTAAGATGATTATTTTTTCATCCAAAAAAGTTAATATCGTTATATCTCTCCCACCCGAGTTGCGTTTTAATCGTTTGTACAACTCGAACGTGGGAAATCTCAATTTATTTTGTGGTGTCCGTGAAAGCAGCATGAAAATTGCTTTTCTCCGGTTTTGTTTTGGTTGCGGTTCGTCTGTGTGATCAAGGTGAGTTGTTTTCTCTATTTACCAGGTATCGCTCCACTGCAGGTGGTGCAGGATGGACAACACACTGCAGGTTTCATGTCTGATCGTGGTGTAGAAAACGTGCAGTGTTCGTCCGCTCAGAAACAACAAGCCCACAGTCCAACATCAGTCGGAGAAAAACATGTTTTAATCAGAAATATCAAGAAGATATATTTGGACACAACCTAGAAGCCCAGATTGCATATGCAGGTATTTTGTCTGCATTTAAATCAATCAAAAGAACGTTGGTCTACAAACCAAATACACTGGAAATGAATGTATTTATGTACACTGAATGTAATATAATATAGTGTGTTTTATGAAATATCATATATCATATTAGACACTGTTGAATGTTTGGCAATTGTACAGGAGATGTAACAACTGTGTAACTATAATGTGCTGCAGAGACAAATGGTGCATCAGCAATATGTCTTTGCTGCAGCATCTGCAAATTTATCATATTTACTTACAAGCTACAAATCTGCATTTACGTTTATAGTATTGAGATGAATAAAATCTTAAAAAACGATTCCTGTATGCTGCGATCTCAAAAGCATCTCTGGAGCATCAGTGATGTACCTCAAATTAAGTTTCCACTATAACTGAAACACATCATATGGCAAACCTTTTCCACTTATTTACTTTGTACTGGCATGTTTTCTTTGCTATAATTACACTTCTTCTGCCCCTGTTGGATGGATATTTTGCCAGGAAGAGGATATCATACGTCTGTGGTCTTATTCTTATTTCTCAAGTTTTTAATATCCTGTATCCGAATTCTAACTCGCAGCAGGACTGCAGAGTCATTTCCAGCTGTGATGATTCTCTACCTGTGTGAGCTCACCTGGCTGCAGTCCGGTCCAGATTTTTAAAGTTATAAAACTCCGGAGCCTTAGCTTAATCAGATCAGTGCTTCATGAAGGCAGGAAGTGAACCCCCTCTTCAAACTGGGATAACTGGGAGGCTTTTGATTATTTACTCTGGGGCGGCATCTGCAGCTTTGTATTTCCAAAGGTCCTAGTCTTTGTGGCCTGTTTTTTCCTCTCCACTCTATCTCTCTTTTTCTACCCCATTTAGCTCTCATCATCTCTCCGTTCTCCTCCCTGCATTTCCAGGGGTTTCTGTCCCCTTCCTCGCTGCCAAGCTGGATTTCCTGCAGGTGAAACATCTGAAGAGGAAGAGGAAGAGCAACTACAGTGTGAGAGAAACGCAGACACTCATCAGGGAGATCCACAAGAGGAGGGATGTGCTGTTCTCCAGACAGCAGGTGCAGATTTTCTGTGATGTGTGTCCCCACAGACAAATTAATGCCCGTCCTATTCAATTAGCAAGCATTTGAACAAGCTTTTTAATATACGTCTATGTAAAGAGCTTAATGAGTGTAAACAGTAATTACTGAAATAAAAACTGCAAAGGTATAATATGATCAGTTTAAAAAATATTTGTCTAAGGGAGTTTTGATAAGTTCAGCTGATGTTCTATCTAAAAAACAAGTCACAACTCAAAGATAATATATAAAATAGTATAAAATAATATTAACAGATATCAGTGCATACATTGGCGGGTAAGTAATGAAGATGCAGTACTTCTTAAATACCTAAATATAATTAAGAAGAAGCATGTTCATTAGTACTGACAGTTCTTTTTTCAAATGCAAAATGTCCTGTGTTTTACATTAAGCACATTTCTCATTTTAATTTTTTTTAAAGAGCCTGTGTTTCTCACTCTGCACTACAGTCCCACAGCAACTGTATCTGTCATCACAACACTTCACCACCATCATTACAATCTTGCTCCTGTTCTCTTTCTCTGAACAGAACACAGCCATTAATGAGCTGAAGAGACAGGCATGGGAGGAAGTGGCTCGAGGTGTCAATTCACTGGGGGAGGGCGAGCTACGAACTGCTGCTGAGGTGTGTTTTCGTTCTGTGTTCAAATCACATCTTTAAATACCTTCTCCTCTTTTCTTATCTCTTGACTTTTGGTTCTTTAACTTCCCCGCCTCGCCTACAGGTGAAACGACGTTACCTGGATTGCCGCGCCCTGATGAAAAGGAAGCAGCTTCAGGCAGAGCTCTGTCTCTCCTCCTCTTCATCCTCATCTCTGGCCCTGAAGACAGAGTACGATCAGTCCTCCCCTGAGCACGAGGCAGCCTCTCTGGGGTCGGGGTGCGACCAGCTGCTGGACCTTTCTGGCTTCCCAAAGGACTGTCACTGCGACTGGCCGGAGCTGGTGGGTCTCAGCGAGCCGAGCGGTCAGGCCATGATGGCACCGCCGGACATGAAGATGGAGGACGATGTCTGTGAATACAGAGTAAGAAACATGACTGCAGCATCATAATGCCTGCATGTGTGTGTTTACTGTAGCAACACAAAACAGAAGGTTTGTCCTTACACCACAGATTCCTTCTGTATCTTATTTATTCTGATTAAACCTTCGAGGCCATTAAAGCGATTTCCATGTAAATGAGGACAAAATGATTTTCTCAAACACCTTCATGCTTTTTAGATACAGAGCTCTTGTTTAAGCCACTCCTGTTATGAGGAGATAAGTAGCCTGTATTGACATGCAAGTATTTGCTAATGTGTTAATTAGCTTAATGAATGTCCTCATCAGCAGAGGTAGTTATGTTTAATATATCACAGTGATTATGCAACACATGTAGCTCAAGTGGCTCTTGCTAATCTGGCCTTATGATTGGGCTCATTGGTTCACAAGGTAGAGACGGAGACACAATTAGTGCATGTTAATTAATAAGGATTTAGTCCTAACATTAACCCTTAACATGTTATGTTTAAAGTAAACAGTTGTTTTGACTTTTTCTGTTATTTGTCCTTTTGTCCTTGTTATTTTCCCACTTTTTCTATTAGAATTTATTAAAACTCTTCATATCATCAGTCTGACAATGTGCAGTAGTATTAAAGGTGGTTTTGTGCTATATGTGCTATATACTTCCCTATGTATATAATCATGGATGACTCGACAGCTCCCCAAAAGTCAAGCCAAACCATGTCTATCACATCCTGGTGGGTAGCTACAATATAGCTTGCAAACCTTTTTACGTTTTAATTCTTTGTCTGATGCAATGAGAAGGTGGTGAAACTTGAAACAACTGAGACTGGCTCACGATGGGTCAAGCGTGTGTATCAGCAGGATCTTGACACCGTGACTCTACTCAATGATCGCTATCCTTTATCGCTATCGGTCTATTCCGACCACCTCTTTCTCCATATTACAGGATTATACAGCTGTGCCCCCAAGATGATTTTCAACTCTTGACTCGTGATTTACACTCAATGTAACATGATAAAGTAGCAGTGTCCCTTTAACGGTGTCCCTCTCTCTTTCTCTAGCTGGATGGTGATGGTGATGTTGGAGATGGAGAAGGAGAAATAGATGAAGATGACATTCCTTCCCTCCTCAGCGACATTGAGTCACGTGGCGAGGGGCATGTCGGCAATGCATATTCCCACAATGACTTAAGCATGCTCAGCTCCTCCAAGGCCCCGACCTCCACCACCAACAGAGACCTGCCGCTGGCTGCCGGCCTGATGGGGATGCCACCTCATGCTCTGGGAGGATTCACCAGTCATGAAAACATGGGTGCAGGGTTCCTGGCTGCTGTTGAGAAGCAGCGACTGGAGCTGGAGAAACAACGCCTGGCCGTGGAAACAGAACGTCTGGGTGTGGAGAAGGAGCGGCTGGCGGTGGAGAAGGAACGACTTTGTCAGAAAGAGGTGGACCGGGAACGAGTGCAGCTGGAGAGAGAGAGGCTGCAGGTGGAGAGGGAGAGGCTGAGGCTTTTGCTCCTCAGCCAGTCAGAGCCTGCTGACTCCTCTTTTAACCTGCCGCCACAGCAAGGCCCGCCTTCGTCCTCCACGCCGTCCTTATCCTGCGCTCATGACGTACAGAGGGAAAGAGAGCGGGAGGGCAAAGGGTGGAGGACAGTCGTGGATCTGGACATGGAGAGGCTCAAACTGGAGAAGGAGAGATTGCAGCTGGAGAAAGAGAGATTGCAGTTCTTCAAATTCGAGGCGGGCAGACTGCAGATAGAGAGAGAACGCCTCCAGGTGGAGAAAGAGAGAATGCAGCTGCACAAAGATCACCAGAGCCACTGAGGAAAAGACTGATGAGAGAGAAAGTGGAGAGTGAAACTGAAAATACTGACAATAACGCAGCATTTGCATCAGCGACAGCTCCTTAATCAACCCTACACACATATATCCTTAAAGATTGTGTGAGCCGCTTTAACGATTATTGCCATTTAGAATTTGGCCGAGGAGAAGACAGAGATAGAGGGCTGGTTTATTTATGACCATCACAATGAAGCAGTGCCTTATGATGTCTTCATTAAAGGGGCGATGGGACAGAAAAGATGGATTTGTTTGGCACAGGCAGCTGCTTATGAGCTCAGCATCTAACCCGAGGTTGAGCAGATGTTCAGTGCCCCATCCAAACACACTGATGCACAAAATGTGCAGTGTAGAACATGGAATGCTGGTTATATCATTGCAACACAACATTTCAAGCGTACAAAATGTTTTAAATGGTATATAAAATATGAAAGAAAGGGATCATAATGAAATGTATCTACTGTATGGGTGCTCAAACATAAAAATGAGATCCCAGCACTGATCTGTTACTTGTACATAGAGATTTTAATGCTTTTTATGTATTTCTGTCAAGTTCTTGTGTTGAAGTATAATTTACATGGAAATAGTTGTGATTTTTACTTTTGTCCACCAGTTTTATGACTTTGTGACATTAAGGACACTTGAAACTGAAGCAGCTAATAATTTAATTATTTACACCGGTGCTGTTCCTACTAATATAACATGCGTGGAAATCTCCTCTGTGAAAAAGGCCCATTGAGGTTTGATGTATTTTAACATGAATATTTACTTGGAAAAGAGCCTGAAGATCTGTGGTGAGCAGCTGCAGGATGTTTGCTTTGCATGATGGGATATTAGAGCAGTTAATTGCTTAATTTTATGTTATAAGATTTGCTGTGTCATAAACATACTGTACTTTTACTGGCTACTGCAAACTGTATTCTGTTGGTTATGTCTTAACAAACTATTCTTTTTTACGTTTGTCCCAGTTTGTCTCTTTCAAGAACTCATGACCTGAGATGCAGTCCAATTTTACTATTTTCTATTCATTCTATTTCCTACATGATTCCATCCCTGATTAGCATGTATATGTCTTTATACAACCTTTTTTCTTACAGTCCCAGTGGCTCCATGTCACTGAGTTCATAAGTGATTTTTGTAAAGAAAAATAAATGTGACTTCCAGATAATTTATGTGATGATCAGAATAGAATAAATGCCTTAAAGTGCTTCTCTCTGTAGTCCCTCTCAAGCAGTTCTGTTCTCAGCATTGTATTTTAAAGAATAATGGCAAAAGAGAATAAGTTCCTTTTCTCTCTGCTGTATTGATGTTCTACAGGAAACCGATATGATTTCCCAGATCAATGCAGGAACATATAAAGAGAAAGAGACAAATATTAAAAATCACTCTGAGAGTGTAACACTGATAAACTGCACAAAAAGTTAACTTTTAGGGATTTCTGTAAATCTGATCAAACATTTGAATGTCAAAACAGTGACCACAAACTCTCAACTAGAAAAAAAATGAAGCCAGCGTGTTTGAGACAAAGAAATCTAAGGACAAGTGAAACCTTTTTAAAAACTGAAATCACCTGAGCTCCCAAACAGTACAATATAGACAGTAATAGCCACAGGTTGAGTCACACAAAGTATTTACTTTTTGAGTCTGATGGTTATTTTTTATGTGTGCCCCTAAGATTGGAACCATATATAAAATACCTGTGTTTGGTCTACCTATATGTTGATTTTGGCAAGAAAATCCACTTTATTGTTGTGGGAAGATTCACGGAAAAATGAAAACATTGTAATTGCACTCACTATACGTGTGTCAAATAGCACAACATATACTTCTGTAGTACTGTATGAGTTTTTATATTCAGTAATGTATATGTATATTTTATAACTTAAACCCGTCAGAGGAGGGATAGAAATACCAGACTCAATCATTGTCTGCAGACTGAGACGCCCGAGGTCCTCTGGCAGACTGTTCCACAGAGGGTGATGATAAAATTACAAGCTGGCTGCCCATTGGTCACAGATCTGAGTGCTGGTAGTTTAATGGCCTGTGCCCAGGATCTAAGGTGTCTAATATCCCTGATATTCAGTATACCCACCTGTTCTGAGATTAGCAGTAAATGGATCCCACAGGTCGTTCTCAGCAGATGTGCTGCAGAATTTTTAACTATTTTAATTTTACCACAGGTTTTCTTCTTTTCGATACTATGTAACTATGTACAGAGACTACAGTCCTGGTCATCAGGCCCAAAGGCAGAAAAAGTGCAAACAAGACAGAAAACAACACAAATGTTTTGTGCATACATGTTGATGTCAGATTCATCAATAGTAATTATAAAATGTACCTTGTTAACATAATCATATATTGCACATATAGTATGTATGTCATCTGCATGGCAAAAAAAAATCAATGCAACTTTTTAAGAGACACACTGGGGACATGCTGCTTTTTACACCCTGCTTCAAAAAATGAACTCAATGTGCATTTAAGAAAGTGCTAAAATATTTGTGACATGTACTTGACCTGAGCCCGAGTCAGTGGTGACTCTGAATTGGGGATATTTTGTGGAAAAGCAGAAACATTTTTCACTGTGATGGAAAAGATTGATCCTGAAATCAATCCTGGTTTATCATAATGTAATTAGTTCCATTGGATTCACTCTTCAATCTGGAATGCAAATATTTCTATTTTAGTAGGCAGTAAAAATGACATAGACCACTATACCAGCAGCAGCAACACAACAAAACAGCTTATGAGATGAGCTGCTTGTGTGATTTGAGTGTTGTTTCCCTTCAGATCATAAAAGTGGCCTCAAAAGAGAAAGACAGAACAGGACAGGTGGTCATGACAGGGTAGGGGCTGTGGATGATAAACCAAGGTCGGAGATTGATTCCCATGAGAGAGGGATGCAGAAATGGAGAGATAGGATGAGGGAGGATGTTGAGTGGTGTAGAGAGTGAGAAGGGAAGGAGGGCCTGAAAAGATCTGGGGCTGAAAAGATCAGGCATATATCAGTGCTGAGAGAAGGAAGGACAGAGAATGAGGAGATGAAATGAGCCAATAAAATAAAAAGCTGGAAAGGCTGTTTTCACAATTTGCAGTGACAATAAAAGAGACAGATTGAAAGTGTGTGTGTGTGTGTGTGTATGTATACATATACACTTGCAAGCGAAGGTGCAAGGTTAAAAGGGCCAAAACTGCCTCAAAATTGTTATTTTGCTTCATCTTTGGGTAAATGGGAAATAGTTGTCAGTAATAACCCAGCATGGTATGTAGGTGTGTGGGAGTGTGAGTGAGATGGGAAATGCTTGTCAGTGATGGCTCTGCATTAGGAGTGTTAGGTCTCCACGGATTGAGAAAAGGAGCCCAAATGATAAAACCACAGCAGGGAATCTTTAACCCTGCGACTGCTGATCTAGAAGAGCAGAGTTTCTTCACAGACACAGAGATGCCCTGAAGAAACTCTGGAGGAGCTGAAAAAGTCGACTGTCCTTGAAGATTTTTCAAAGCCAAGAAGTAATCCATTCCAATTCTGGCTGGGGTTTGAATTTACTCTCTTGTACAATCCTCCATTGCGGCCATTCGTGTTGTAATACAATTTTTTTTAAAGACCACGATGGGTGTAAATATTGTAGAAACAAGGCTCATTACTGATTACTAGCACCATCATGAGGTTGTCATTATTTCATGTGGTTGAAATATGATACACACATGGAGATATATTTTAGGCTATACCCTAACTTTATGACATACTGATGACAGCCTTGTGGAGCTGCTAGCATGACTTAGTCTTGTTCATTACTTTGAAGCAACACTGCATTGTTTCTATACCGTAAGATAACAGCACACAAGCTTTCAATTGGGAGAATGTCATGTCTGCAGAAACATGTTTTTACCACAGTGCCTACCTTCCGTTGTAACTGAAGTAAGTCACAACTTTTGCTTCATTGCTTCGTCTTGTGCTGCTAGCTTGACGCTGGGCCACGTAAGAGATGACGTCGACTTGCTAGTTTATCATCAGAACCCAGGTGGACCCATTTCAAATCACAACTTAGCCAAACAATAAAACGTGATTTGATGCTACTGTTCTAGTTGTGTGCAGTGAATGGTTACTGCCAGACTATGTTAGCAAGTGTAACTTAGTTCAGACCACGACAACTCTCTGAGGTTGCCAGTTTCCTTTTCACCAGCTTGCCAAAAAAATGCCTGTGTGTACAGTTGTGTGCATGGGAAGGCTTAGATCGCAACTTGCATTACAATAGTGAATGACACCTGTAGGGGGAGCTTGTTTATAGCCAAGAACAATTCTTGATTTGTGTCACTTTAAAAGTTCTCTGTGTAAGATTTAGGAGAAAGGGATTTATTGGCAGAAATTGACTAGAAAATAAGCCTAGTAATTTTTTTGTTTCTTTTACCAGGAATATATTTAAATACTTACCGCCAAAGTTTTTTTACAGTAGTTCAAACTGAACACTTTTTGAGTTTCAATGATATCTAAAGGCTTCCACAAGTTCTCTGTCATGTTTGGAAGGGGAGGATGAGGTGAGGGGTTTTCAGCTGCAACATGCAACTTCACCACTAGATGTCACTAAATTCTAAACACTGAACCTTTAATCTCCGGCAGCTCTCTGCTTTAGTTTGCACTCCATTTGCCATAAGGTAACAAATATGAAATACCAAACCTTTCTATACTTTTTTCCCCCTATTCTGCATACAGAGTTGTTTTATGCACACATGGTTGTGGTTATAAATAAAACACAGCAAATGGCACACAGCCTGGATGGGCTCAGTGGATAAATGACCACACAGATTCACACACATGTTCAGCATCGATGTTTTACTAGAAAAAGAAACAAAATGGAAAGAGAGAAATAAAGGAAGAAAGGAACAGTGTTAAAGCCAGCAGTCAACTTCTTGCTGTCAGTGCATGAAATCTTATGTGCTGGAGGTGGGGAAAAAAACACAACAGTGTCATGTTCTGTTAAACTGCCTGTGTGTCTGGTCTAGTGATCAGTGTTACCTGTCCCTCACAAATGTATCCATTACAGAAACCCACTATTTCTTACAAGCTGGATGTGCTGCAGTGCTGCTGCACTGATACGCTGAGAGCAGGTGAGACTGTGGGAACTGTCCATGAAGTTTGCTTCAGACATACAGACAGTTGTTTTAATATGCTGTTTGAAATACTTGTGTTATAATCTTATTTTGTTCATCTGCTGAGTTTGACTTGAGTACATTTGATGCATGACGTATGTGTTATGCAATGATCTGAACCAGGAGCCAGAAACTCAGATTGTCAACTGGTGTCTGGAGTTGTTCAGTTTATCTCTAGCCCATTATTATGCTGCATATCCGAGCAGAAAATCATTTGCACTTTGAACAAAGAGTTATGTTCTTGCAGTGGGACAGGAATGGAGATGAAAGCAGAGAGAGAGAGGAAGACAACACAAGAGAAGGAGCATTTGAAAGGTAGAACAATGGCAAAGCAAAAACAGAAGAAAACTTAATGTTTCCTCCCAACAGACAAGAGACACAGTCCCTATGCAAGCATCATGTATATTTTCTTATTCCTAAGGCCGAAAGTAATTAGATTTGAAGGCTGCCATACAGGTTGTAAAAATGTATATTCGATAGATTGCGCATGTCTAGCATGATAAATCAACAAAGTACAAACCTCCTGAACTCTGGCCTTCAAACTGGAGCAGACTCACATTTGGTGAGAAAAACGAACAACAAAAAGCACCGAGGTGATATGAAATGACACAAATGCTACACTTTTGAAATGTCAGACAGCATTTTTTCCCTACAGTAATCGACAGAGGCTCATCCTCTCGTGAGGCCTGTGTCTCTTTGTACTAATGTTGAATACTTGTAAGTAAAAACTGTATCAGGGGCCTTTTCAGGCCTCCATCAGAGATATTTGGGGATAAAAAACACTGTTGGACAATGAAAACGAAGTGAATAACTGAACAGACAAACAGGCAAAAACAAAATCATCCAAAACCCCTCATGGTGCTGTAGTGATCACTCTGAGCTGACCCTGTGTATGCAGCAGTGTGTGTGCGTGCATTTCTACATGTTAGTGTGTGTGTGTGTGTCCATGTGATTACCAGATGAACATTCAGTGTTGAGTAGGACACACAGACTGTGGCATATTCATATTCTCAGGTTATCAAAAGAAAATCCATATAACAGAATGTATGCCACGGCCTCTGACAATCAGTGATCAATGTTTTCTATAGCTCTCTATAGATATATATTTATTTGTATTATATATAATATGTAGATTTATAAAAAAAGATTTTTTATCTTAATTACAAGTAGTGGCATTTTCTTCTTATATTCATTATTGCAATGAATTGTTATCTAAGATGATTTAAAAAAGACAGGTGAGTTCTGTTTTGCTACGCAGTTATTTACAACAGTTTTAAAAAGCAAGCTCTCTGATACGGTACCTTCCCCCCCACCACTGGAAAACACGAAGGATCTAAAATGGCATTTTCTATTTGGAAGGCTGAACTTGAATGTTTTAAATCCACGTTTAAATCATCATCACATTTCCTCTTATCTTCTACAAGCGCCCAGTGCTTCTGTTGAGAAGGTCACCATTTTAGATCCTCCAAGTGGTTTTATTCCTCCATTCCACCACTGAATATACAGCTTGAACCCTATCATCACTATTTAGCATTTCTACTGTCATGATAATGCTGTTGATGGACTGACTTTATTTATTAGGCTAATGTTTATTTATTCTTTTTATTCTTTTACAAACCCCTGTGAATTCTATGGCCGAGATTCAGCCGAACGTGTGTGTCTCGAGGTTACTTCTGTTCTACGTTGGCTGATTATCTCGCTGCTTTGGGAACGAGAATCATCGTAAATGTGTGGTAAGAAAGCATTTTCATTCAGTTGGGACAGTCCATGGCAAAGTCGTGGGTTTTGCACAGTCCGAACGTTCAAGCTTTACAGTTTTCTGGTCTTCTAAGGGTGATAATACCTGGCACTCAGTCTTTGCAGGCAAGATAAGATGATGGCGACCATGATGATGATGACGATGAAAACAAGGTTTGTAGTCTCAGTAAGGCGTTGTCAAGGGGTGTGGCTTATTGGCCAGCGATGTCCAATGAAGACAGAGTAGGAGCAGAGTTGTTTAGTTGTCTTTCCTCTTGTCACCATCCTCATCTTTATCACGATCATCATCATGATCAGTTCTCGCGTCATGTTCACAGCTCATATTTCATGTCATGTAAATCTTTGCTGGCTTTCCTGTTGGTTCGTGGATATCAGGATGGTATCCTCCCCCCAATAAAGAAAAAAAGAATGAAGACTGCAGGCAAGTGTGATAGATGTAACTTGTCCTTTGTTTTGTCTTTTTTTCCCCGCTGTTCAATACACAGTTGTATTTCAATTGTCTCTTGTAAAATAAGTCAATGGCAACAGGAAAGTGAGATGATGATGCGCAGTGTGTGTTCGTGTATTCAAGTGTGTAAAACTGTGTTCTGTGTATTTGTATTTGAGCTTCTCTAGCTTGATGTGTGTGTGTTATATGTGATATGATAGGATGTGAGAGATTGTACTGTATGTATGCATGTGTGTGTGTGTGTGTGTGTGTGTGTGTGTGTGTCCTTGTCAAAGTCAGTGTGTGTGTGTCATTAAGGCACGGCAGGTGTTTTTGGTTTTCAGGGCAGTCCAGAGGAGACCACTGCAAGGCCGGGGTGTCGGAGGGAGGCGTGGCCAGCATGCACAGCTTTGGGGCAGTCTGGCGTCAGGACGCGGCCATTCTCCCCCACACTTCCTGTGATGGATAGACGGGCCTTGTTCCGCATGGCTTCAGAAAATGACAGCTACACGAGGAAAAATGGGAGAGGACGGAGGAGGGGGTGGAGATGGCAGAGTGGAGAGCTTGTTTAAAAAAAACATGTCATAGGCAGAAATTGGGCAGTAAATTGAACTTGTGTAAAAACGTAGATCTCTGTACATGCACCAAAAACACTTCTACATGCAAGTGCCGGTACAAACACACAATTACCTCAACAATTAGAAAAGTCTGAGGGTGCAATCATCCAGTTAAAATGATTCTGTGAGATTTCTCCATTCCACTCTGTTTTGGACATTGAACATTATAATTATTTGATTTTCCCTCAATATGCTGTTATTTAATTACAAACAAACTGAATATTGGAAAATGCAAAGATGTTTTGTAAATAAAGGTCATGCGGGTTGTTTATCAGAAACCATTCAATTGAGTGGAGTGGAGTTTTCTTGTAAACAGAAATGTCTATTTTGCCTTTGTAGCCGTGTCTCAATTCAGGAGCTTCATCCTTCAGAGGCTGCATATGAAAACCAATTGTGTCACAGCGGTGCCACTAGGCTGTCCCATTGAGAATGCTCTTTCAAATGCGCCTTCGAGTGCGTCCTTTCATCCCAGGGCATCAAAGTTACAACAGGAGGACCCTTTGAGGCCCAACCTATCCCAGGGTGCATTTCCCTTGGTTGACAAACTGTTTAATTAAAAAGGTAATGGCCGTAGCATGCAACGAGATGTCCAGTGCATTAGTATCAGGCTTCATCTCAACCAAACAATGAACGGTACACATGTAAAAATAAAAAATAAAATAAAGGGGGGCATTAAAACTTTCTCAGTGTGTCCAACTTCAGCTCCATTGCTAGGCAACAGCAATAAGCTGTCATGACCAGCTTCGATGTCGATCATTGAGACCTCTGTAGACACGACTGCCTAATTTTAGTTTGAGCGTAGACTGTTTCCACCAAATGATGCAGCCCCCAAAGTGAAACACAGCCTATGTTTACGTGCTAGAAGTCTTTTTTGTTGGTGCATTATTGCATCTCTAAGTGCTTTACTACCACCTACTGGTGATTAGGGGAATTGTGTGAACACACAACTGTGTGTGACATTGTGAGCATGCTTGTGCGTAGTATGAATGCACCCCAAACTTATATAATAAACAATCAAATATTACTTAGGCTAACACACTTTCAAAACACTAGGACAGTCCTACAGAAAGGAAAAGGTAAATGCAAAAGCAGGCAACAAACATGGACAACGTAGACAAGCGGGTTTAGGTTGTAGACATCTGCATTTCATAGGTGACCATGCATCTCTGGGTTCTGGGTTTGTGTAATCACAGATTGAGGTGAGGATTTGAAAGGACGGGATTTTGGAAGGTGAGAAAAAGGAAAACATGAAGGAGTGAGTTTTCTTCAAGGTGTCAGATTTATAGAGAGGGAGTGACTGTCTATACTGCTCAGAGTAGGCTGACACTTCACACAGACGGCTACTGTGATTTTTGTGTTTCTGTTCAGTCAGTGTCGCTGCTGTTGGACGAGAACCTCATATCACAGACAGCAAGAGAGCTTTATTTTCACATAGATGGTGCTCATGTGGTGCGACTGGGACACTACATTAAAAGTCTCTACCATAACTCAGGTTTTTATGAAGCCCCTAAAGTCCCGACAGATGTTACTTTTTTATCTCCGTATATCGTTCAAGATAACTACCTTCTGGGAACAAGTTAATGTATATTTGCAGCAAATGATTCCTACTGACGACAAGTGCAGGTCTCCGGACAACAGCCGGAAGAATTTTGTTATGTCATTTCAAGGTGAAAATAAAACTTGATCAGCTGATTTCTCTTTATCACAGAGTCTGTGAAACTGAAGTCGTTAGAGACATGTATACATTTTAGTAAAATAACTTGTGCGCACAAGATATTGACATGTGCACAAGTTAATATATTTCGTGCATGTGAGTAATTATCTTGTATGCACAAAGTGAAAAGAAAAATATTCTGTTGGGACTTTAGGGGTTCTGTGCAAGTTACAGTGTTTTACACAATCAACGTTAGCAATCTAAAGACTCTGTCAAAGATGCTTGGAAAATTTGGGTTTCATCTTTGATTTCTAAAAGCAATTTGTTGTTCTGCTCATTAACTTACACATTTTACCTTTTGTATATAATCTTGTAGACAGCCAATTTTAAATGGTGACAGTTTTAAATGGCGAGTTTCCCCCTCCTCTTTCACAGAGTACTGTCAGTTTGATGTACAGCTCATTACAAACTAAAGAGAAGAATTAATATCTACTCTAAAGAAACATCTCAGACCATTTCATCTGGAACCTATATTGGTTTAGATGTTTGGATGATATCATTGTATGTTGACACGATGATTCAAGTCAGAGTTAAATTCAGCAACGGTTCCAGATGGTAGAGATCCGTGTTATTGCTTCTAAGTTCAGTCCAAAATGCTTCCACTACCACATTGGATTATTTGTGGTAAACTTTATACTTAATTTTCAAATTGGGTACTGTTACGTTCAAACAAATAATTGCAAATATTTAGTGCATCACATTTAGCTGTCTTTTTTTTTACACCCTCTGTATTGATCTTGCTCATTATCTCAAGGTGATAATCAAATAGGACTGTATAAGGCCTCGGAGTGGTTTGCTCAGCAGATCATCAAAATGAAATCCACTGTTTCTTTTTTTCTTTGGTTAATTGCCCATGTGCATCGATATACATGACTCATGGTTTTTACAACAACATCACTAAGTAGCCATTCTATATGAAGTGTTTCATCAATTAATCCTCTGCATTAACACTAAGTAACTGGGCTGTTTTGAAGATGTCAGGGCTGGAGTAAGTCAAAATGCCTGTTAGGAGGGTCTACAGCAGGGGTGCACAACTCCAACTTTATGGATGACGAATACAAAAGACAGTACAACTACAAGCCACCAGAGCTGGGAAAGATCTGCTCTGCAGCAATTAATGTTTTATGTATTTTCACTGTTATTGTAGGTAAATTAAACTCACATTTATATAGTTTATTATTGTTGTTGTTGTTGTTTTTGTTGACTGTTGCTGCTTTTATTAATAACACTATTACATCTATAAGTATTGCTTTTATCATTTTCATTATAACAAGTTAAATATAAAAAAATATCAAACTTGTAAATGCAAACATCTCAGGTATTCCAAATTAAACCCCCACTAATTTTTTTATTAGCTAGTGTGATTAATTATAGATTAGTACATATTTTCCCAATATGGGATTGAAAATTAGGGATTGATAATAAGAACCATGTACAGGAGAAGGGATTTGGGAAATAAAGTAGCTACTACTCAATCAGCTGGTTACTGCAGGTCAACTATTATCTACGGACAACAATTAAAAGCAATCAAAAACTGCTATGGGGCAAATTTTTCCTGAATAGACAAGATTAAATCAGTATTTCAAGAAAATGCAGAAACTTGAGCTGACAAGAATCGAGTCTCACCCTGAACACACTTTGTCTTTTCTGCACCTCACAACCAACATCACTCAGATGTTTTGATGAGGAATTACTGAGTTCTGACTAGTTTTGGAAATTTCTGTGAAAGTCTACACATCTTATAAAATGTCCTGCAGTGTTTTTCTTCCTGAGATATCTATCACATTAAAAACTTAGCCAGACCCAAATCCACAATGACTGGTGTCCATGTGTTAGCTAATTAATTTGTAGCTGGAAGCAGTCATAGATTTTAATGAGGAACAAACTTTTATGACAGCAGGGTGAGAAGACCCTAAAAAATAATAATAGTTTAGCCAAAAAAATACTGAACCATTAGAAAATTTAGACATATAGTTTTTTGGTATAAGGATGAATAAATCTTATATAAATCTATAGTAAATACAGTTTTGTTATTAGCCGTTATCCCTTTTAGCCCATTATTAAGGCGTTGTCATCACTTCATACTATAGCAAAAATGCTGCTATTCTTTGTCTTTTACATTTGTTTTAAGATATTTAGAGGTTTTGACACTGTTAGTCAGATGAAACGAGTTATGTGAAACTTTCCTTTCAAGCTTCTGAAGACAACAACGAGCATTTTTCACTATTTTATGACATTATATGTCCTAAAAATGAGAAAAAATTCTGCTTTATTGATGATTAAAAAGTATTCTGATGTGAATTCTAATCTGAAGCCCTATACACATATATATATAAAAACTGAGACTGGAGTTGTACATCCCTGCTTGATCAATATTTAGTTGATAGCTAAATTACAATGCAGGTGCCTAGTCAAGTCATCGGCAAAGAGCATCACCATCACTGTCGTTATCATCATCATCATCATCATCATCATCATCATCATCATCATCATCATCATCATCTGCAGCCAAAGACGATGGAACCAAAACTGTAGTCACACACATCTAACCCCATTCTTGCTTGGGGCGAGCTGCTAAAGAATGAAAAATAACAACTGTAATAAATGAAAAAAGATATTCGGCCAATATATGAAATAAAAGAAGCAAAATAAAACATAAAAAGCTAAATTGGTTCCACAATGCTTGACCACATCCTCATCACCACATGAAGAACGACACTGGAGCTGCTGCGACAGCCTCCACATCAACAATACAATAATCTACAGCACCACCATGATCAACACCACCATAACCCCACCTATATATGGGAGCCTCTAAATCCTACCCCTATATCTTGACCCCCTCGGAGCCGTACACGTTGTACCCCTCCCTATAAGTGGCTAGATTCTGGGTGCTGGGGGAGGGGCTGGGGCAGTGGGGGGGGCTAAGGTCCACCTTCATGCGCTTGGCTTCGGCCCGAGACTTGTAGCAGAACTCGACCAGGGCCACCAGCATGGCCAGGCCAAGGCCGCCCACAAGGATGTAGAAGACCCCGGCCACATTGGACAGGCTGAGAGCCTGGGACGACTTGTCCTGGAGAGAGGGAGACGTAGTGGGGGAGGAGGGGAGAGAGGAGTCCAGGCCGAGTAACGGCGGAGTTGAAGAACGAGTGTTGGGTGAATGCAAGAGGAGGTGGTAGGGTTAGTTTAGATGTAGATGCATGAAAAACAGGTTAGTAGGGACAAGTAGAAGAGGTGGAGGAAAAATTCGAAAGATGGAAGAAAGGGAGAAGAATGAAAAAGAAAGAGGTGGATGAGGAGCAGACAATTAAAAAGTGTCGGGGGGGTGAATAAAGAGGCAGGAAAAAGCAGAAAGAGACAAAGAAATAGAGATCCTCAGAGAAAGAAAAATATTCAAACACAAACACACAAATACAAACAAGTATTATATTACCACTGCAGTAATATTCTACATGTACTAATTTACATTATTGTGTTATTATGAATAAATA